GGCAGTGGAGACGAATGGGGGGTGCAGCAGGAGGGAATGGGTCGGGGGAGGGGAGGCGCATGACTGATCAAATCTGTTGAAGAAGATATTCAAGTCGTTTGCCCACTGGTGGTCCCCCGGACCTGGGAGTCTGGCTCTTTGTAGCCAGAGATGGTTTTCAGGCCTCTCCAGACTCCACTGACGTTCCTCTGCAGCAGCTGTTCCTCCATCCTCTTCCTGTAGCTGTTTTTCCCCTCTCTGATTCTCCACCTCAGCTCCCTCTGTACAGTCTTCAGCTCCTCTTTGTTGTCAGATCTGAAGGCCCTCTTGTTGTCCTTCAGGAGAGCCTTTATGTCAGGGGTAATCCAGAGTAGTACAGTCCTGGTGGGTACGACGTTTTCCTCACAGAAGTTAATATAGTCCTTGATGCTGCTCACCTCCTGCGGTTGGGAGAAAAGCTGGTTCAGGTTCAGCCTTATGGGGGGGCAGGGCTGCTGAGCCTAGAGCTGGATCTGGTCCTGGCACCAGGGGGAGGGACAACTGATTTAGTATGAATAGCTGCTAAACATGTAACCTACCTGCATTTATTAAATGTCAGCTAAAAGAAGAGTGAAATGAAAAACCTCTGAATTTTCTTTATAGATATTAACAGAACTTAATGTGAGCTAAACGTTACAATCATTATTTACAATGGACTACGCTTAGCTAACAGATTAATTTCCACCACTCATGGACCACACCCACCGTTTCTCTTGAAACACTGGGTGACATACTGTCGCCCTTTAGTCCCTCTCTCTTGTCTTTCTCTCCTTTCTTTTCATTTTGAAAGCCTGACTTTGTGAGTCGTTGAGACATGGTTCACACGTAAGTACTAGCATCCCTGCTCCTCACATGCTCTCACTCTCTGCTAGAAAGGGCCGTTTCGAGGCGGGAACAAACCATTACATGTAAATAGAGGGGGGTGTACAGAGGCTTTGGATAATTAACTTTTGGAAAAAAATAAGTTGAATGAATCGTAAGTTTAGTCAGTACATTATCGATATAACCTCCTATTATTGTTAATTATTGATGAAAGGTTACTTAAACATTTTTTCTAAATGTTCCAAAATAGTTTGGGCCCCCGTGGTGAGGGTGTTTGGGGTGGCCAATAGGGTGGCCAGGATTCAGGATCACCCGCCAGCTCCGCCACTGCTCACCGCTGCATGTGATCATGCAGAGCTGCGTGTCGACTCGTCAGCAGCAGCTGATCTCTCTCTCCCGTCAGATTAGACTCGCTTTTATGTCCATATCGATCAGATCCAGCTAGTTCTAGCTAATGATATGACTACCTGCTTATCACACACTCTTCTTGTCCGTCACGCACTCTTCTTGTATATTAGAAACAAGTTGGCGAAACTAAAACTGCGATATAATGTTTGTGTGGCAATAATACATGACATATATTTTTTAGATGTCTCCAGTACCGACAAAAAGTCAGATAATGTCGGAGCTTAAGGGTACCACTGTCTTTTATAATTCCGGCCCGGGGCCCGTTTAACACCGGGGCTTGGTACCCATCCCTACGAGGGGAGAGGCGCAGCATATTGCTAAGGACTACACGAGTTCTCATCTCAGCCTTATCACCCATAGGGGATGAAGAGGAGTGAGTAAATAAAGAGGCGCTCCAGGTTCTGCTGTGCGTTTTCGTGATGTACCCACGGGATGCCTTTGTGATTGTACATCACACAACCCGCGAAATACACACACTCAGTACATAGCTAGACCCACGAATTTGCAAGCACAGCTGTGTGTGTGTATGTGTGTGTTTATGTTGACAAGGAGGTTTAATAACCGTGCTACACAAAACGTGCAGTCAGTTTAATTTTCATCGCCGTTGGTAGTAGTTAGCAGGGTATTTTTATTTTAACTCTCGTCCCAAAATAATTTTTAAATCAGGTGTGTGTGGTTCCAGGTGTGTTTGGTCTCAGGTGTGTGTGGTCTCAGGTGTGTGTGGTTCCAGGTGTGTTTGGTTCCACGTGTGTGTGGTTCCAGGTGTGTTTGGTTCCAGGTGTGTGTGGTTCCAGGTGTGTGTGGTTCCAGGTGTGTGTGGTCTCAGGTGTGTGTGGTTCCAGGTGTGTTTGGTTCCAGGTGTGTGTGGTTCCAGGTGTGTTTGGTTCCAGGTGTGAGGCTCAGAGCATTCAGGGTCTCACTGTCCAGCTGATGTACACATATATATAATATATTAAAACTAGGGCTGTCAAGAGATTTTTTTTAAAAACGTGTGTCTCTGTCTCTGCAGAATTATCTGTCTTCGGAGATCAGCTGAGTGTCTCAGTGGAACCCGGAACCTCCTGCAGACCAGAACCAGGACCTGAGCCGGACCTCCACCCGGCCCCCGGGGAGGACGGGGAGGACGAAGAGTCTGAAGAGGGGGAGGAGGAAGAGGGGGAGGAGGAAGAGGCGTCTCTCTGCTGCAGAGTCTGCGGGAAGTCGTTTGACAGGAAAGGGTTCCTGATGAAGCACGCTGAGTCTCACCTGAAGGGGGCGCCGTGGCTCTGTGGTCTCTGTGGAGCGGGCTCAGAGTCCAGCGCCGGACTGAAGGTCCACCTGCAGACGCACCGGGACCGGAGCAGAACCTGCGACGTCTGCGGGAAGAAGTTCCCTTCGATCCGAGCGCAGGAGACGCACCGCCGGCTGCACACCGGAGAAAAACCCTTCAGATGCTCCGTCTGCGGGAAGGACTTCAACCAGAAGGGCAACATGGTGACTCACATGCGCACTCACAGCGAGGAGAAACCCTTCAGATGCTCCGCCTGCAGGAAGCAGTTCAACCAAGCCGCATCTCTGGAGCGACACATGCAGGTTCATGTTGATGTTGAGAACATTGGAGAGAAACCCTTCAGCTGCTCCGTCTGCGAGGCTGCGTTCAGTAAGAGTGCCGAGCTGAGGCGGCACCGCCGGAGCCACGAGGCCCGCGGGCCGCCGGTCCAGAGCCCCATCAGGAAGCCCAGTCTGAAGCCCAGTCTCACGCCCGCTCACCGCTGCAGGGTCTGCGGCAGCGCCTTCCACAACAAGGGGAACTTCATGCGCCACGCAGAGACTCACCTCCACGAGACCCCGGGGCTCTGTGGGGTCTGCGGCGAGACCTCGGAGACCCCGGAGAGTCTGCAGATCCACATCCAGAGCCACAGGAAGACCAGCAAGATCTGCGACATCTGCGGCATGGCCTTCAGGGACATGGAGATCCACATGAGGACGCACTCGGGACAGAAGCCCTTCAGCTGCTCAGACTGCGGGAAAGACTTCCCCAGGAAAGGCTCTCTGGAGAGACACATGAAGCTGCATGCCGGCGAACGGCCGTACATCTGCGAGTTCTGCGGGAAGACCTTCGTGGAGAACACGGTCCTGAAGAGACACATCAAGAGCCACACGGGGGGGAAACCCCGCATCTACGCCTGCGATGTCTGCGGCAAGAAGTTCACCATGAGCCAACACCTGGACGTGCACAAGAGGATCCACACCGGGGAGAAACCCTACACCTGCAGGGTCTGTGGGAAGAGCTTCCGGCAGATCGGGAACCTGGACTCGCACTCGAGGATCCACACGGGAGAGAAGCCCTTCATCTGCAGCCTCTGCGGGAAGCGCTTCCGGCAGAAGATTTCTCTGGAGACGCACGAGCGCTTCCACAAGAAAGAGAAACCCTTCGGCTGCTCGCTGTGCAGCAAAGGCTTCGTGCAGAAGATCGACCTGAAGAGACACATGCTGACGCACACGGGGGAGAAACCCTACAGCTGCTCCCTCTGTGGGAAGAGCTACCAGGAGAAACGCTCCGTGGACTCGCACATGAAGGTGCACGCCGCCGAGAGGGAGACAGTGGGGGAGAGACAGGGGGAGAGAGTGGGTGAGAGAGTGGGTGAGGGAGTGGGGGAGACGCGACTGGAAGCAGCGAACACTTCATCACTGGACTTCATCCAGCTGTGACGAGCAGACACACCTGGAGAAGAGTCCAGATGTTCAGTTTAAAGGGTCTTAAAGTGTTTTCCTTGCAGACCCTAAACTCGTTACCCATCATTCATCACTTCCTGTACAAGTTATTGTTTATCTTTACTCTTGAATATTTCCGAGAGCATGGAGATAACAAAGTTGTTTAATAAACTAAAGTCAATAAAAACATTTGAAATTTCTTGTGTGGTTTCTGAAGAGTTATTCGACCGTAGAGACGTGAGGAGTAGAAGAGTCTCTACGTTAGCCCTAACCATAAAGAGGACAAGACTTTCATATTCATAGGGCACCAGGTGTGTGTGTAGGGCACCAGGTGTGTGTGTAGAGCACCAGGCGTGTAGAGCACCAGGTGTGTGTGTGTATGTAGGGCACCTGGTGTGTGTAGGGCACCGTGTGTGTGTGTGTGTGTGTGTGTGTGTGTGTGTGTGTGTGTGTGTGTGTGTGTGTGTGTGTGTGTGTGTGTGTGTGTGTGTGTGTGTGTGTGTGTGTGTGTCAGGGTGTCCGCGGGGTCTTAAAAAGTATTAAAAGTTGATAAATCAATTTAGCGAAAATTAAGGCTATTAAAGAGTATTAAAAAGTATTAAA